TGTGTGTGTGTGTGTGTGTGTGTTGCTGTTGTGTAATTGATAGGGAATAGACAGAGAGCTGCACATTGAAAATAAATGAAGCTATAGAAACTAAGGAGTGTGATAATTCTGGGTACCTGGGGTCATCAGGCCTGGAGGCAGGGAAAAAGGTGGGCTGGGCCAGGTGTGTCCCTAAGTAGGCCACAGATGCTTGGAGACTCTGGGAAATATGAAGTCCATTCCAGATCCAACCCCCCTGAGGCTGTTCCCCAACATGTCAGGGGTCGGAGCAGGCGTGCTACTATTCTTTTTTTTTAATATAAAGATTTTATTGGGGGAGGGGAACAGTGTTGGGGAATTGGGGAAGGGGACCAGCCAAGCTGTTCTTCTTCAATCTTGTTGTGGAGGGCGCCAGTCGCCATCTGGCTGCCCATCGGCAGCTCGTGGCCTCTAAGCTCAAGGTGCTGTTTTCAATCTTAGTTTCGGGTGGGTATAGCCACCATCCCATGTGGGAGTCGAACCAGCAGCCTTGTTGTTAAGAGCGCATACTCTATCCACTGAGCCATCTGGGCGGCAGCTCTGCTCAAGGTGCCAAGTTTAGTCTTAGTTGCGGGTGGGCATAGCCACCATCCCATGCAGGAGTAAAACCCGGCATCTTTGTTGTTAAGAGCACATGCTCTATCCACTGAGCCATCCGGGCAGCAGCTCTGCTCAAGGTGCCAAGTTCAGTCTTAGTTGCGGGTGGGCGTGGCCCACCATGGCACAGGCAATCTTGTTACACCAGCTGAGCCATCCTGCCACCTGTTGGCAGCTCAGCGATAGCTCAGCTCAAGTGCAGCATCACTGGCCCATGTGGGAATCGAACGGGTGGCCCTGTTGCTCAGAGCTTGCAATCTTAAACCAACTCTTAACCAACTGAGCCACTCGGCCGGCCCACTACTATTCTTTTAATTCATTGCTCTGGTCCCCTCCTTCACCCCAGTGAGGCTGTTGTAGCCCTCTGTGAGGACCAGCGGGCAACATTGGAATTCTCATGTCTAAGACTTTGTTCCTGCCATTCTCCTGCCTGGAATGGCCTCCCAGTCTATCTGAATCCTCCTTATTGTTATACAGCTCTGTCATTTCACTTTTTCCATGGAGTCTTCCCACACTGGCCCCCAGTGAGCTCTAGCCCACTCCCAGCATCCTTGATTTTAGTGCCGAAGGTAATAGTACATTTATTGAGCTCCAGCTGTGTACCTGGCACTGCAACAGGCACCTGGGCGAAGACCACTAACTCTCCATCAGCCCTGTGAGGGAGATGTCCACAGCGTGTTACATTGGGGAGGCTGAGGCTCCAATGTTGTAATTTGTCCAATGTTGCCACAAGCAAGAGGAGAGCCAGGATCGGACTCCAAGGCTGTGTTCTGCCCTCCAAGTGTCTAATGGTGGCTTTTGTTCTGGGTAAGCCTAGGGCCTTCTAGCCTCTTGAGTTTAGCTCAGCGAAGGGCCCCATTAGAAACTCCAGCATAGATCTGTCAGTAATTCTCCCTACCCGACTTCTGTCTTCCACAGTATTGCATCCTTTCAGGATAATTGTGGATGGACTGCTTCTGAAATGGATCACAGACTTTCCAGCCCTCCTAAACACACTATTCTGAAAAATTCAGCTTTTATCAAGCATTCATAGTTACCCTTTTATCAGTTCCCATGATGCACTGCAACATTGGGATGGCCCTGGGGGATATGGAGATAGAACGGGCCATTAGCCCCTGCACTTAATAGCCCCAGGCTATTGAAATGTTCTATTCTCTGATCTGCTGGAGATTACAGATCCAGATCAAGGTGCACCTGTATACAGATGTATACAAAAGCCACGTTAGCCTTCAATGGTGGCCCTCTCAGTTTCCCTCCTCTCTTTTGTTCCTTCCTTCCACAATGTTATTGAGCACCTATGTATTTTCCCATGTATAAGATGCACCCTTTATCGAAAAATTTGGGGTCTAAAAACTGGGTGCGTCTTATACAATGATTGTAGATTTTCTTAGTTGCATTTCCCACTTTTTTCCATGCTTGTTTTTGTGCTCATTGTTGTAGATTTTTTTACTTGCAGTTCCGCTTTTTCCGCACT